TGGAGCTGGAGCGATGGCGCCACAGGTAAGTAACACTGGCCTCCGCCAGTCTCTCTCCACTCTACGATCTACTACCTACCAGCGCCCAGCGYTGAAGACTACAGCTACAGCTATGGCGCCCAGCGCCGAAGACTACAGCTAGCTCTACCGCTACTGCCTTGAAGACTACTGCAGCGCTCCTCCCGAGTGCTGCGGCCGAATCCTGAAGACTACCTCTGCCTACTGACACTACCTACCCGTGAAGTGCATGGGAACCTCCTATGTAATACGAGTGTGCCTCTTGAGCCTGCCGAAGGAAGGCAGGGGCTGCAGCTGCAGCTCCTGATCGAGCACGTGAGGAATAGGCTATTTTAGGCCTGTTCCATATCCCTGTTTCCGTGCCCGAGTCTTACGGGCAGGTCGAAACAATGAGGGCCTGAAAATGGCCCTCCGTTTCAGGCTGAAAACTCTGGGTCTAAAAAGACCCAGAAATAGGCTGAAAACGAGGTAGGGCCTGCAGGCCCTCGTTTTTCAGCATCCAGGCTGAAATGAACGGGGCCTGTAAGCCCTAAGTTTTAGGCTTTTAGGCTGAATATCCAGGACGGGCCCTGTAGGCCCGTGTGGCTACGCAGTATGCCACACCCCCCCCTCCTTGAAGAACCGAGCTTACCTGCAAGGGCGAAGCTGTCTGTCTGAGGGAGGGACCACAGTCCGGGTGGGAGGGGCTGGTCGTGAAGCTTCCTGAGCTAACCTGCGCTTTTCATAATGCGCGTAGATCAGCGGTGCGGATGCTTTCAAATCTGCGCCTGATATCCACCGAGTGTCGTCGCGATCGCATGCTTTGAATGTGACTTTATACTGCCGCGGCTTGCTGCCGTACTTGCGATCGGAGATGACGCGGTCAACTTCCTGATGGCCATCCATAGAAGGAGGGTCCTGCGATCGTCGGTCCGGAAATTCGTCGCTCTTGGMTGGGGTGTAAGTTGCCAGCTTCGAGGCGTGGAAGACCGGATGGACCGTCAGATGCTCTGGAATGTTGATCACAAATGAAGGGCCATCGGGCTCATCGCCCGTGGCTGCTGTCACAGACCAAGGTCCAAACCACTTGGGAAGCAGTTTGCGTGAAACATCCTGTTCCAGTGCAAACTCTTCCGCGGAGACCCAAACCAGATCACCGGCGCGGATGGGACATGGTACGCGACGCCTGTTGGCTTGCTGCTGCGTGCGGACTTTAGCCTTTTGCATATTTGCGCGGGCTTGAGTCAGCAATTCCCTGTACTTTCGGACGGAAGAGGGAGAGCAGGCAGCGTCAATGTCGGCTGGTCGAGGGAGGAGAAGGTCGGCGAAGATCCGGCCTTTCCGTCCACCGTGGTGCAACTCGAATGGAGTCACGCCGATCGCCGGATGCACCGAAGTGTTGTAGGCGAACTCGATGTGGGGGAGGCGGTCAACCCAATCTTTCTGGTCCGGACGGATAAGCGTACGAAGCATCATTTGAGCGGTCTGATGTGCCCGCTCCGTCTGCCCGTCTGTCTGAGGGTGTCGAGCCAAACTTGGTTTCATTGTTGTGCCGGACTCCTACATGAGAGCAGTCCAAAACGCCGACATGAAACGAGTGTCGCGGTCGCTGACAATGTCTTCTGGTACACCATGGCCACAAATCCAACCAGTGTGCAGGAGGCGTACCATCTCGGGAGCCGTGGAGTAGTACTTGCAAGGGAGAAAACGCGCGTACTTACTCAATCGGTCCACAACCGTGAGGATGCCGTCGTGCCCGAGCAAGTCGCGAGGAAACGGACCGGTGACGTCCATGGCAATGGAGAGACCGGGTTCCCGTGGGATAGGCATCGGGTGTAACTCGTCGTAGGGATTGCGGTTGCGGGGCTTGCTGCATGGGCAAACTTCGCAAAAGTCGCAATACCGAGTGACATCGGTAATGAGGTCGGGCCATCAGAATCACTGTCGAAATCGTGCAATAGTGCGGTTGACTCCGAAATGGCCGGCGAGTCGTGAATCATGGTACTCACCGAGGAGGCGAGTCCGAAGACGACGGTCGCGTGGGACACATAGTAAGTCCTTGCCTCTCGAGTGGAGGAGCAAGTACC